TTGTTTCAAAGGAACACTTGTCCATCTTAATAAGCTGATAATTTGTAATTTAATTTTTTTTTAAATCCAAAGTTGACACCACATATTAGGATTATATAAATAGCACTCTAATCTCTCATTACCAGAAAATACTGCTATTTTGGTGCAAAATTTATTCTTTCCCAACACCTGTTGAGAAATATATTTGTAAGGAATTCACAATTTCATGTTTTGACAGTCACTCTGTATTGCAGTAAAGGACCATCAGGTTTTGTTCCTTTGCTAGTAAGAATGCAGAAAGAAAACTTGGTAAAAGTCTGCAGCCCCTCAGGTTCTTAACTTAGACTGCAAGATATTCTTTTCTTGATAGCCTTTTGCCTTACCATACATAAGTTCTACACTTGATACCACTCTATCATAACTCTACATAGAAATCCTTTTTAGTCACATGAATGTTGAAAGAGTTTTTGTGATGGATTTGAGGAATTTTGTTTCAGTTAAAATTTCCATGTGAAGAAACCGTACAGGAATTGACTGTGAGGAGAACTATGGCTTTGTGCAATTTGAATGTGCTGTGCACAAACAGATCTGCAGCAACCACACCTGAACTTTTGAAGCAGGCTTGCTTTTAAAAGTGAGTAACCTTTTTGGGAAAGATCCAGTTATGTCTTCTCTGAATAATTCCTACAATCAAAGGTGAGTGCAAGGGTTACCATTCTTAGGTGTTCATGAGATACCCAAGTACACAAAATACTTCACAAATACTTATGGCAAATGCTCTAGAGCCCAAGCAGCCAATTGAAGGGTTTATCTCAAGTGGAAATTAAGATTTCTTGTTCTGATATGGAGTAACAGCCATTTTTACCACCCATCCATCTGACTACAGCCCAATCAAACCTATGGTTTGCATGTCATGGAAGGAAAAGACTGCTGCAGGTTTCAATTTACATAAATTTGGGTTGTTTATTGCCAAGTCTCTCCTCCCAGTTTAATGATGTTCAGTAACATATCTGCAGTTAGAACATACTTTCTTTACCTTACTTATGTGTTTCTTGGTGGTCTAAACTGTGCATATTTGAGAATATAAAAATATTAATACTCCACAGAACAGGTTATGCAAATACAATGCTCATGTAAACAATCTCAAGCACAGCTATCATTTAAATCCATCTCTATGAAGGAAGGAAATGTGCAAAACCCCACACTGAGAACAAAAGCATGGTATGGATGGCCTGCACATTTCTTGGCCACAAAAGCAGGTTTCAGAAACTTAATTCCTCTGCTACAGAGAAATATATTTTAGAAATATTCTAGTGTTTATAAATTTCTCAGTAGGTAGTAATCTACAATATCAGCTATAAAGACTAATTTATGGACATCACATAAACCCCTGTTTGGAATTACAGTTTAGAATCAGAACATGCAGTCTTGTATCAACTGAAGTATCAAAAAGCAAATTATTTTCTTTAAATAAGGATTTTCTTAAATTTTAACACTCAGTTTATTTAGCACACAGATCACACGTTCATTCCATTAATCATCGAGTGCCTGCTGGCTAAAGATTAACACCATCTCATGCTAGCATTTGATTGCATTCAGTTGATAGTTACTCTTCATCGTGTTGCTTTTGCAGGAAGCAATCAAGGAAACAAGTCTAAAAACTTCCATTTGCATTATCTGAAATGTATTGGAAGCAAGGCCAGAACTGTTGAGGTTTCCCCTTTTAACTCCAGAAGCCCTGAAAGCTACATATGAATTTGAAACTTTAAGGACACTCCTGAATTCCTTTACTGCAATGGCTGGGTACAGAAACTTAAGACAAGTATTAAGAGGAAGAATGATGATTTCTGCCCATCACTGTAGGGTATAAGGATACACTTTCTATGGAAGTTATATTATTCTGAAAAGGTTTGGATATCACTTCCTCCAAAAGTAAGTTAAAACCCAGAAATTAATGGACTCAAACCACACTAGAAATATTCAATTATTTAAAAAATACTTGCCCATAGAGCAACAATGCCAAATACAAATCTGTCTACCTTCCGTATGCAAGCCCCAAAGAAATGTATTCTTGGGGGACTCTCTCAGCCACATTTGCATTGTAAATATATTTACAAACTAAATTCCAGGCCAAAGCCCCATTGTTCCAGCTTCCACAAGGCATCATTACTGTGCTGAATTTAATCATTGTGCCAATCCATTTGTCCACCTAGAATACAAATCCAACCATTCTGAGAGGGGTTCTCATGAGTAAGTGATTGAAAAATCAGTGACTTGTTCTCTCAAGTCAATTACAACCAGATATTAATGGCATTTATGTGTCTGGAGATCAAGACAGACACCTGATGGGGCTTTCATAACACCCACCACCCACTGAAATCTCATCCTCTTACCTGGCTTATATGAGCTATTCAAAAGTTTAATTAATGAGTGATTGAAGTGCTTGTACAGTGTTTCACAAGCCTTAGAAGAGATGCATGTAGCCTGAAAGCATTTTTATTCAGTCCTCTAAAATGATAAATCAAAGACTTAGGAATGCTGTTGTGAAACTGCAGCTCTGTTAAGGGACTTTGGATATTTTTCGACTTCGGCCTCTTAATGCAGGAATGACACAGGACATTCCCAAGGCAGTTTGAAAGCAAAAAAGAAGTTATGTTACCTTCATGGTAACATAAAACCAAGGGTGCAGTATGGAATCAATAATTTTTTTTACCATGTAGGAAGTCTTTTTAAACAATCTGCTTATTTGCCCAAATAGTTTTATTTTGCATAGTATTTTATCAAATGCCTGAAAGACTTGCCAGTTTTCAAAGATCCATTTCCACATACGCAGGACAAATTTTGTAGATAGTATTGATTTGTCTACAAAGAACACAACTGTTTTGTACCCAAGTTCTGAAACCACCAATTAACTACTATCAGCTTTTTGAAAGAACATTATCACTTGCCTAGCAAAACACAAATTAATTACAAAATATTAAAATATAAAGAAATATAAATGGACTGTGAAACTTGTTTTATAGTTCTTATAAGATGATTTTCTCTATGAGAAAGTTTTGAAAATATGCTTGAAATTATATTGCCACCTGCTGTTTCTGACAAAAAGCAGGAGCCAGGTCTGGTTTGCTGTATTATTTAAAATTCTGCAAGTATAATGGAAACCTATTAATTTAGGGAATCCATTGTGAAGCAGGTGATGAAATCTCACTGCTTTTATCACCCATCTTGTATGTTCTGTGCTTCACAGGACTTCATAAGCAGTGCACTATTATGAAAAACTCCAGGCTTTCTTTTCTTTTCTTCCATTGTTCTAGACCCTAAATGACAGTTTCAAAGACTTCTTAGCTGATGTACAGGAAGTACCAAACATTAAGCTGCAAAGCAATATTTGGAGGGGAAAAAAAAGGTAGTAATTTTGTCTGATAAATGATAATTTTACAGAAATACAAGCAAAGCAGTTCAGAGATTTTGTGCACACAATAAATTCCACCTCAACTGTCTATTCCTCTATTATTGCTTAGTTTCCTGTGCAACCTCCCAAGGGCAGCACTTCTCTTACTGTCAGCTGGAGAACACACCAGAGGATCTCCCCCTTTATCTGTGGCAAGACAAAGGTCTTGCCAACCACATCTAGAAGCAACGTTATTCCAGACAGATCTGCAGGTCTTAACCTCCTTTGAAATACTGGAATTCAGTAAGCATTTAGCCTTAAGCCTAAATGCCATCTTGAATAGTAAAATAACTGAACGGGCTTTGAAGCATTTTATTGAATCTGACTGTATTCTTTAACACAACCAAACCCTCCCTTGCAAAAGGTAAATTCATTTAATTTGCAGATTTACAGGTCCCATTATTCCAGAAGGGGCACCCCACAACAGCAGTGCTCAACCTCCAGCTCCTACAGCGCTCCGCGAGCATCACAAAGAGCCAGGAACACTGAGCAGCACTTGGAGCGCGGGCTGGGAAAGCAGCGGGCTGGGAAAGCGGCAGGAGCGGGCTGGGAAAGCGGCAGGAGCGGGCTGGGAAAGCGGCAGGAGCGGGCAGGGAAAGCGGCAGGAGCGGGCAGGGAAAGCGGCAGGAGCGGGCTGGGAAGCGGCAGGAGCGGGCTGGGAAGCGGCAGGAGCGGGCTGGGAAGCAGCAGGCCGGCGGCGATCGCCAAGGGCCGGACAGCCCAGCTCGGCAGGAGCGGGACGCAGAAACCACCCCGGGACACGGCAGGGACGGGACGGCTCCCAGCGGGACACGGCGCCGAGACTCGCTGGGGAGCTCCCGGCCTCCGCCCCGGCCCCGGGCAGTGTCTCCCCCTGGCAGTGTCTCCCCCGGGCAGTGTCCCCCGGGCAGTGTCTCCCCCTGGCAGTGTCCCCCGGGCAGTGTCCCCCCCTGGCAGTGTCTCCCCCTGGCAGCGTCTCCCCCTGGCAGTGTCCCCTGCTCGGCTGCCCCGGCTCTCCCTTCCCTGCGCTCTCTCCTCTCCGGACGGGACCCCGCGGCCGCCGCTCCCCTCACAGTGCCGCGACACCGGAGGCCGCCGCGCCGTCCTCCACCTTCAATCTGTGGCCCCTCTCCTACCTTGTCCGCTTTGCCCGAACCACACCAGAAAATAAATCAATATGAAATGAAATGAAATAATTAAATGGAAACGCGAGCGAGCAGCCGCCGTTCCCCGCAGCGCGGCCGACCCGAGGCAGCGGCCGGCTCGGACCCTCCCCACACCGATCTTCTGTCTCCCCCCGCCCGCCCCTCGCTCCCCTGCGTTCCCTCCTTCCTCCGCAGCTGCTCCAGGCCGGGGACAATGGCCCGGCAATTGCTTCGCACCCTCGGCCGGGCTGCGAGACCCCCAGGACAGACAAGTGCAGAACCCATCCCCGGCGCTCCGGGCCCGGGGCTCTGCGGGACTCCATCCCCCAGCGCTCCCGGCCGCGCCGCCCCGCAGTGCTGCGGGTGCCCATTGGTGGAGGCCCCCCGCGGGCAGCCAATCGGCGCGCGGCTCCTTCGGCGGGGCGCGGAGCCGAGGGCGGGCGATGCTCGGGGCTCCGCGGAGCTCCGCGGCCGCCGGGCAGCGCCATGAACCTGGGGTAAGGAGCGAGCGGGGCCGGGCGGGACGCGGCTGTTCGGGGAGGGACGGGCCCGCGCGGCTGAGGGAGTGGGAGCGATCTGCGGGATAGAGCCGGGGGCCAGCGATCTTTCCCGCGGGAGGGCCTCGGGACGGGCTCCGCGGAGCTGGGGCAGCGCGCACCCTCCGCGCCCGCGGCACAGAGCGGGCCGGGCCGGGCTCCGCTCACCGCGGCGCCCCTCACAGAGCTGCGTGCGAGCCCGAACTGCGCTGGGCTCTTCACTGTTAGCGTTTTATAATGAAACGTGGAGATAAAGGGATATTTATCGTCATGCTGGATTGCCCCAGCGCACCGAGCAAAGAAAGGCACGGGGGTATCGACTCTGCCACGCTTTTCTCTTCTCCCAAACGCTTAAAACAGCGCTCGTTCCACTCGCGAGGGTGAATTGTTGTGCATGGAAGCACAGCCAGAGACTCTTCCCAGAGCACAGCCCCGCTCTGTGACCGGCAGGCTGGGGTAGCGATTTGTGCAGTTCATAGCGTTGGATTATTAAATGCTTGAGGCGAATTGCTCTGTATCACGATATGGAGTGGCACCTTGAGTGTTAAAGATCTACTTTGTGATGTGGCGAGTTGTAGTAGTTTTTTCAGTATCAATAAAACTACACCTTCTTCAAGGCATGTTGATTCCTTTGTTTTAAGTAACTTCTCAAAACGTAGCTTGGGATGTGAAGGACCATCTGGAACAAGTTATTGTTCTTGTTATGAATGTTCAAATCTTACCATTATCAGATTACTTAATATTTCAGATTTCTCTCTCTCTTTTGCAGCGATGGACTGAAGCTCGAAACTGAAGTGCTGGATGGGAAGCCTAGGCTAATTTTAGCTTCTTCTGGTATTTTTTTAATTTAATCTTTAAAGCTTCTTGAAGTTAAACCTAATATCCAAGAGACATAAAGCCCAGCTTTCCTGAAATGTTTCTGAGATTAGGAAGAATGTTTGTGCATTGTTATTTATGAGTCCTCTCTTTCAGCAGCTCGAGTCTCAGCAGTAGGTTGATGATGAATTCTGAGTAGTCTGTGCACCAGGGAACAGCTGGCAAATAGTCTCCACTGCTTAGCTTGTCATTAAAATAAAAAGTTAAGCTCAGCAGCTCGATTCTCAGCAGTAGGTTGATGAGTAGTCTGTGCACCAGGGAACAGCTGGCAAATAGTCTCCACTGCTTAGCTTGTCATTAAAATAAAAAGTTAAGTGCTATTGTGTATCAGCTGGCATGACTGGATAATTTCTGTAACTTTATAGCACGTTGCTTGCCAGGATATGAGAGGCTCAATAACAGCTTAATTTACACAGCATGACATCACTACAATCACATTTTTAAAGCAGCTTCAGTATTTGTGGTGAACATTTTTAATTTTCAATAAGCAGTTTATTTAGGCCAAATCTCACTACTACCATAAGAGATAATTATCAACATAGGTTTTTCCAGTATAGGTGTTAATAAATTCTGTTTCTGTGGTTTGTCAGGCATACATCTCTGTGATAAATTCCAACTTTGTGATTTGTCAGACATACATTTCTGTACAAGTCTACTTTTCCCAACTGTTCTGCATAGTCAGGGCAGATGATATGGGAAAAGTACTTTCCCCTTGATTTACAAAAATCAGATTTACAAAATTTACAAAAATCACATTACTATAATGTTTTACTAATTTCTCAAGATTGTTTTTCAGGGACAAGTTGTTATTAAATACTTCTTTCATATGTTTGTGTTTGTTTCCCAAAAGATAAATCAAAGCCTGCCATGAAGGTAAGTGTAAAATTTTTGGAACACACAAATTCACTATTTGTTAATAGAAAATTTGAGAAATTGAACTGTATAAATACTTGGAAACAATTATAGTTATGAAAGAGAAATATGTGCTTCTGAGTCTCTTTTAACTTGAGATATTCTGTTATTTCGCAGGCTTATAATAGCTGTTCAAAAGGATGAATTCAAAGTTTTGTGACTATTTTTACCTTTAGAAAATGCATTAGTTTCCTTGGCCAAGAATTTAGAGCAGCAGAGGGAATCATCTAAATCAGAACTGTCAGAGACCTTAAAGGAATTCTGGTAAAATAGAGATGTGAAGTGTGTTTAATTTCAAGTTTGGTCATACAGGCTGTCCCTGAGTAAACTGCAGTGGGGTGGGTTTGGGAAGGAGAAAAAGCAGAAAAAGACCCAAATACAAAGGAAATAATTACAAGTTTGCACCAAGGACCTTGGAAAGAATAAAACTTAGCTCAGAGTGGAAGAATCAAGACTGAAATATTGCTGGGTGCATGGTGAAAACATGTACCTATGTGGAGCTAGGAAACACTTGTTCCCTATTCAGAAACACCAAAGTAAAGCAGAATTAATGCTTGTTAATTCTTTTAAATGTCATGCTACATAAAGTTATTATTCATACTGTTATTTTGAAATACTCATGCAGATGCTGTGTCCTCTTCCAAAGTTCTCCTGGTACTTGGGAAGATGTTTCATTAGTTTATACAGAGTTTGTACTGATGGAACAGAAAAGAAAAAAATGACACTTAGTTTCCTTGTTGCTTCAATCTTGTTTTCATTTGGTACAAATACAATTTTTTTCCTTATTTAATAGATGGTGAAATCTTTTTGCTTTAACAGATGGGTAATAAAGCCAGAGCCCCTAAACAGGCACTGAGAATAAAGCACACTGGACTCATCTTGAGGCCAACACAAAATGCTTGTATCAAGCAGGAAAATGTAACAAAACCAAGGAGTGAATCAAGCTTGTCAATGACAAAAGGTGAAAAACTGCAAGTTAATAAACACTCCTCACATGAAGCCACAACTAAAGGTTACTCTTTGATTTTCCAAAGAGATAAAACAAGCAGATATCCTGATTCAGAGGATCCTAGCATTGTGAAAAAAACTAAACACAAACCTCAAGCCCCACATGTATCAGCTGAAGACTTAAAAAGTTTGGTGTGTTTAACACAAACACAGCTTCAACAGATTTTGATGATTGTTAAAGAAGGAAGAAGCATCTCTGAGACTCAGAATGAAAAGCAAGAGGAAATGGGTAAGATACCAGCCATTGGATGCATTTGTTCCATGGAAACAGAGCAAAATGTGAAAGCTTAACCTGAAATTATCGACTGCAAGTTATTTGCATATTGTAGAAATTTTACACTTAGGTTGAATGGTCTCAGACAAAATACCATTTGTCATTATGAATGTGACATTGTTACTGTGAGAGCCAAGCATTTCAGAATTATCACAGTAAAAAAGACTGTCTGTTAGATTTCCAGTATTCTGAAGAGCAGACCAGCCAGAAACATTGTCACTGTTCCATGCAAAATAAAAACCATTTTACACTGGGTGGGGGAAATATAGAACTGCACTGTAACACTGCCCAAGGAGAAGGGCCCTTCTGGTTTGTGAAGAGTTCAGGCTTTGCTCTGTGTCTCAAGAGCAGTTCTGACATTTTCCTGTGGCCAAAATTGGATTTGTGTCTTTTAGCCTAACTGGACTGTCAGTGTTGAATTGTATTTTTCCTTTCCCCTCCCCAGTTCTTACAATCAGAAGTGTAAGAACTGTTGTTTATCTTCCTTTATTGCATCCTTCCTCCTGCTGATGGATGTGTGGAGGGGGTCAGCTTTTGCACCAAGAATAAGACATCCTGCAATTAATTACAGTCCCAAACTCTGGCCCTTAGCCAAGAGTAAGTGATTGCTACATCTAGCATTTTAAAAATACCCTGTGAGGGTCTAACTTACATGCCTTAACTATTATAAGCAGGGCTGAAAACACTTTTGTTAAATTGTGGGGAATCTGCAAGTTTCTGCTGCTCTCAATGTATTTACTCAAAGCTGAAGCAAGTTTAGTGGTTATATATACCTTTTTATATATTTATGTTCTACCACAGCTACTAATGAGGCATCAGAGGAAAATGTTATAGCATCACTCCAAAAAGATTGTGAAGTGTCCCCAGTTCCAGATGAAGCAAACTCTGATTCAGGCAGGAAACAAGAAGCACATCCACAGCCAGGACAGAATGTTATGTAGGTACATTTGTGTTATTGTGTACAAAAATTGTGTCTCCAATAAAGGTTTATATCATATGTTCTTAATAACATTAATATTTTTTATAAATACTAATTAAAAAGTTACCTCTAAAATTTAACAGATCAGCTTTCTAGATAAAAATCTTTTCCCTCCTTCCTTTTCTGTAGAAAGGATTCATGGAAACCTGCTGACTTGTTTAGTACCTTGGGTGAAAGAGAAGGGGAGAAAGCCTTACTGGAATTTAAAAAGACCCAATGGAAGAAGGAATTAGGTATTTATGATGGATAAAATACATTTTTGATATATTTTTATTATACTCAGGATGCCAATAAATTTGGTATTCCTCATGCCCTTTTAAATTTACTTAGATCAGTACAGTTGCTGCAAATTGAAAAGTAAATAATAAGTCTCCAAGAAAGATTAAGATTCTTGAATTTCAAAAGTTTATGCAAAGATTATAAATTCTTGCAAGAAACACTTCTTTGTCAATTAAATACTATCTCAAATGTATTTCTGTGCTTTGTATTTTGGGTGCTACTTGCCAGCAGTTTTGTTACATTCTGACAGTAATTGACAGCCATTATCATTAAAAAATTCATTTTGTTTTTAATGGGAACAGCATCACCCCAACCTACAAGCATGACTGAGTGTATGAAATTGCAATTTGAACTTGAGACAGTTTGCAGTCCAGCCCCATCACCAATCAAGGGGAATCTCTGGAGGAAATGAAAACTGTTCAATGCAGTAGCAAATTCTCTGACAAATTAAGCTTTTTATGATTCACATGGAGGTGTGCTGTGTTTTGTTTTGAAATTGGATTTAGACCATTTGGTTTCAATTTGCATTGTCAGTAGCTTCCATTGTGGCTCCATTGGTTTTAATAATATTGAAGTTGTTCAAGACTGGTGTAACAAAATGCAGAGAGTTCATATACTTGGTTATTTGTTGGTTTTCCCTGGGAAATTGTTACTCCAGTGGTTTTTAGTCTCCCCACAGAGACTCCCCACTTACCTCTGCATCCCTGGGCAGATGCCCACTTCGCTCTGAAGAGCAAGGTCATGAAGCATTGGTCAGACTGATTGGTGACAACTCGTGTCCATTTCAGAGTCCAGATGACAGGGAAGACATGCATTCCTATCTTTTTTTATTCTTTTAACTGCTAAATGCTTGCAATAGGAACTCTAGTAAGAGTTTGGTTTTGTTTGTTTAAGATGAACAGGTAGCACTGAAGAAGAAGCTGAAAGAAACTTTGGAGGGAGAGGTGGGTTGTTTTTGGGCAAAACTTGGCAGCAAGAAAACCTCTAAAGTGGAAACACCTGACCCAGAGCAGGTAAGACTGTCTGTAAACAAAAGAGCTCAGTTTGCACAGCACTGATGTAGAACAGTTTAACTTCTAATTCATAGAAGATTTTCTTTTCTGTACAAATCCTCTAGAATCCAATATTGGTGGTGCTTTGAGCCTTCTCAGGGCATGAATTGCTGCAGCACCCTGGCCCACACTTACTTGTTGCTCCAGGTCATAACTTTACAGCCTAAGATCCTTATAGCAGAAACAACCCTTTCCTGTCCCTCCATTTGGATTCCTGACTAAGAAGTATAAATCTTTTCTTGTTCTGTTTGAGAGAATAGTCTCAAATGTAATTCCTGGCTATATAATTAGATACATTGTTCATGAGCTGTCACATATATTTGATGGCTTACATAATAAGCATAGCCAATATGACATCTAGCTTCTAAAAAAGCTCTAATTCTGAAACCAGTGTATTAGATAAATGTATTTTACAAGAGACTTCTCCAGTGAAATTTATTGCTGTTAAACAGAAGGTAGGGTTGCATCTACTGTAATTTCTTTCAGCAAAAGCAACATGCACTTTTTTGTGGCACATTCAGCATTCCTAGCAAAGTTTTGACTCTGTCCTATAAGAATTTGTTTCAATTTACATAAATTATAAATGGTGGATAAAAGATGCTTAGTTACAATTTTGGGCCGAGGTTTTAATGAACAGCGCTTCTAGAAGTATAATTTTGTTGACAAACAGAACAGGTGAACTGAATAAGTCTTAAAATGGTCCCTTTGTTTGCAGACAGTGCTTCCAGCTGACTCAGGTCATGGCACTGAGGAGAACTCTGCCTGTACAGCTGCTTCAGCCACAGAGGCTGATGGAGTTGCACTGAATGTTCCAAGAGCTCCAGGTGGGCAGTCTTCTGATTTCAGTCCTTCTGACTTTCCAGCTGGCAGTTGCACAGCATTGGCTTTCAGGGTAAGATCTTTTAACTGCATGCAGGGTATTTTTACTTATTTGTTAACAGCAAATGTTTGTCTCAATAAGTTCTTTTAAACCAGAAAAATTCCTTAGGCCTTTTTGCTGTGTATAAATATGAAAACGTCAGTGTTTTGAAGACAGCACATCTTTCAAGGCTGATGTGAAGAATAGTACTAGAGGTGTGACATGCTGTATTAATTAGTTTTTAAGTATGTGCTGAAGAAATAGAGAAGTGGAAATATATAAAATAAATTATATTAATGGCAGAAGATTCAAGAAGTAGGTCTTAAATTATGGCTGGTAGGCAGTGATTGAAGAGAGTTTTTTGTCAGATGGCACTGGAAGTTCTCAGTGCCACTGGAGCTTGTTAAATAATACTGAGATCCCTTAAGCAGAAACAGAAGAATGAAGATGGCAGCTCCTTAAGTTGAGACAGATCACTGCTAATTAGATTGTGGTGCTGAATCTGCCTGGAACATAGACTGAGCAGTGAACCACAGGAAGAAAAAGGGATTTCTGTTCATGATACAAATAAGTAGGGTTTTCTGGAGTGAGAGGCTGATGGTTTAACTTACAGTAGTATTCAGAATTCATCTTTCTATTAGCAGTCAGATACTTGCTACAGTTACAAAGTCACATCCTTTTATCGTGCTAGAGAAAGACCCAGTTTTGCTCACCAGCTGAAGGCAGAGCTTTCTGCCAAGTCCTTATTATGTGACTGGAGAAGATAGTTAATTTTTTGTAGAAGAACTAGCAGTTATCTTATTTCAGGAAGCTGTGCTACAGGAGCGACCTTTTAGTGCTCTGAAACAAGAGCAACAGAAGAAGTGGCTTGAAGAGTTGGACAAGCAGAAGGAAGAAGCCAAACTACGAAAATTAGAAGAAAAACGTAATTTATCAAAGGTATCTGTGGTTTAGAGAAGTCTTTATTTTTGTTTTAAGAAATAAAAAATTAAATTAGTGAAGTGGCAACAAAGATGGAATTTTGTGTAGCATGTCTAGGTTTTCACCCTAGGGATGCACTTACTGAACATTGAGCCAGTGGCTGTTCAGTATTTCAGTGATGTGTTTGAGGGCTTGCTGCAGGGATGGAGACAGTGAAAATCGGGGAGAAAGTAAAACTCTCTAGCACTGCATTTGAAGTGAGAGAGAATCAGGCATTACTCTATTTTCTGGCCGGGATGTGCCAAAGAAAATGTTCCAAACATATGTTTTTACAGGATTTTCCCCCAAACTTTATACAGTCAAAATCCGTAGAGGTGAACTGTTTTTAGATTAATTGGGCTAGAGTTGAGCAATCCCCAGTATTCAGTTTCCCAAGGATCCTAATCTCCTTGCCTCCACAGTGTTAATTAGATTTTCATTCTTACCAGATGTCTCCAATTCTGCCAAAGGCTGCATCTGAGGGTAGATGTTTTTTAGATGGCCACTAATGTTTTGATGATGTTCCGTTGATGGCCCTTTTATCTTTCTGGATATCTTTGGGCTACTCCTAGTCTGTTCCTATGTTCAGCCCATCTCCTTAGAGCGATGCTAAAGACCTTCTTTAGATCTCCTAAAAATGTCAAGAAAATTCCTTTCCCCAAGGCCAAGTCAAGCCTAACTAGACAGACAAAATAAAAATGTACAAGTTATGTTGTTTCCAACACTAGTAGTTTCTCTCTCTTTTCCACCATATGTAGAAGAATTTGGGTTTGCAAGGTGCTGTAGAGGCCATGGCTAGATGCTTTGGAAAAAGAAAATTTGTGTAGACTACAGGAGGTAAGAAAAGAGAAAGCGAGTACAATGCGTCACAGCAATGGCAAAATCCTGGTTCTAGAAATTATTTTTTTTAATACACATACACACTCATACAGCTATAAAGAAGTTTAAAAGCAAGCACTTTTCCAGAAAGTAAGGAAGAAAATAGCCTTACATTTCTTTACCCCCCAAAGCCAACCTTGCTGCACAGGGGTGGTTACAGACCTGCACACAACAGTTTTGTCTTTTCCTGAGGTGCTGAGGGGATCAAGCTTCTTGTGTAAATGGAGTTTTTAACTGTGAAGGGAACACAGCTGGGATATGTTCCTTCATTAGCTGCCTTGTTGTTAATTGGATAGGTGTGCTGTGGAAAGGGCTGCAGGCACCAGGGAGTGACCCTTTCCTTTCTTCCATGAAAATGAAATAGCAGTATGTTTGTGCTGACCAGGTGTTGGCATTCAGAAACACACAATCACAGAATGATTAAATGCAGGTGCTTTTACTGAAGAGCTCTGGGTGCCAGGGGTACAGACAAAAATCTGACTCCCACATAGGTTCAGGATGAACACGTTTTTATACACTTATCATTATATAAATACATATTCATTATTAAACTTATATTGTTCTGTTGTATACATTAATTTCATCAAGCGTGGATTCTTGTAATTTCCATCAAACCCCCCAAACATAATTTCTCATGATTCCTATTGCGATTAAACAATAATTATATCCAATTACCAAACAATCATCACATTTAACAATCATATCATTTATCATAGTCATTAAATGGTTATACAGGTGCAGTTTCACATGATCCAGTACAGCCTTACATTTTCCCAGGGCCTACCCTAATATTTTCCCAGGGTCCACCAGGCCCAACCTTTCTTTCCAAATCCCCTGAATATCCCATGATTTTAGAAACATTTTATCCCTATATTATCACAGGTATGGATCAGCATTATAATCTGTGATTTGACTTGCATTTTAATTGTCTTCTCACTTGAGGAATTAACTGCTGTCTGCATTGTAGCTTTTCAAATGTTCCTGGTGTACAAAAAGTGTATTGTCTGTTTTATTAACCACACATTACACCTTGTAGACACAGTGTAACTGAATGCATTTTCTTTTTTTTTCTTGTCTTTTTTTTCTTTTTTTTCTGTTGTTGTTGTTGCTTGATACTTATTTAGGCAGAAGAGCATGACAGATGGGAAATGCATTTTGATTCTTTTAAGAAGCACTTTAATGCTAATGCACAACACTGCTTAAATGGAATGCACAGAAAGCCTGAAAGTCTTTCCTTGTCACCTGACCCCAAGGACCCGACTGCTTTCATTCCCCCTTTGTCCCCTGCAGCTTTAGGCAACCTCATGCCCTTGCAGATAGGAACTGCAGAAAAAGCTGCTAAAAATGGTGCTTTGGAACAAAGTCAGAGAGTCAGGTGAGTGAGCTTTGTAAGGGTAATTATATTCTCAGCCAGTACGTTTAAGGTACCGCCTCAGAAAAAAAATCCTTTACATTCTTTTGGCTTTTAGGTTTTTATTTTCAAATACCTGTTGTTTCACTGTTGAAAGACAAAAGTGTTGCCAATATTTATTAATGAAATTTACTGCAAATAACCTTACTTTTTTTCTAATGAAAAGGCTTTCCTAATCTATGAATTAATTTATATATTAATTTATAATTAACAGAATAACCTCAATATGAAAATGCAGTCTAGCTGATTCTAGTTAAGAAAGGCTGAAGGATTATTTCTCATGATTAGAAACACTGACATGTGCCTGTGTTCAGTTTCCTCCGTTCCATGACGGCTCTGCTGGACCCTGCACAGATCGAGGAGAGGGACAGGAGGAGGCAGAAGCAGTTGGAACATCAGGTACACTTGGCTTTTAAAGCCTCACACTTGTTCAATAAGCAGAAAGGATGAAAGGTAATGTCTCACGAATAAAACATGAGATTTAATACCAGAACCCAGGGAGGCACTTGACTTTTACGCTTTAGATGACATGGGCATTGTTTGGCAGTGTTCCCTTCAGTCAGACTCTACAATTCTCTTTCAATATTTGCACAAGATTATTGCACTTCTGTTACTGAATTCCTGCCTCTAAAAAAGGCACACTTCAGTCCTTAGAGCTCTAGCAGGTTTGTGTGCATTTTTCTTCAGTCTCCACTCTTATAAGGAGGAAAAATCTGATATTTACAGATTCCCACTCCGTGAACCTTTAGTTTTTTATCTACTTCACTACCATTTACCTAACCTCTGTAGCAATGTGTGTCTCTGTGCTGGTGTGTCTCTAGCACGGTGTGAAGAAGTCTCAATATAAATATAGAGACTGTTCTGGTCACACTGTTACTCTGCTGGATTACCAGGAGCTTTTTCACCAATAAGGTGAAAATCAGACCTTCATCTCTTTACAAGAAAAAAAAAAGTATTTTCTACAACATAAAAAGCTCCTTTTTTCTATCTGAGTATTTCAGACTGCTCAACTGGGTGGTGGTTTTCCAGAAACAAAACCAGGAATATTTAAAATAAATTGTCTTCAGTTTTGGGGTTTTTTTTCACTTGTCCAAATCCAATCCTACACATATACCAAAATACATTAATAAATACCTTACAATAGGTTAATGTTCTATCTTTTACTTTGTCCTTTTTTTTTCTGATCCTGCCAGAAAGCAATAATGGCTCAGGTGGAAGAAAAACGGAAGCAGAAACAACTGGAGGAAGAGCAGAGAAAATGGGAAGAGCAACAGGAAGAACTGCGCCTGGCACGAGAAAAAGCACAACTGCAGAAACAGTTTGAAGAAGAAATGCTGAAACAAAAGCAAAAGGAGGTGGGGTTTGCATTATCTTTAATGCAGATAGTCAGTGATAACACTGAATTTTGAGGAAAATAGTTCTTGTTCCTCACTTGCAAAATTTTGCTCGTCATTTTGAAAATGAAAGCTATCCAAAATGTAGACTTTCTTGATAAATATACAACACCATACAAGAATAAGGCCAGGTTCTTTTTTTTGAACAAGGGCCTTTTCAGGAAGAGAAATTATAAGAACTGGCAAAACCAGAAATGTAGTTGTAAATAGTGCAGGAACATCCATTTTAAAATGCAAATTTAAAATTAAAAAATACCTTGAAGCATGTGGTCCATGTGTTGTTATTGGTAACTTGATGCTTTTAAGGTGCTTCAGTACCATGAAGTTGATCCAAGTGAATGTGCTTTCAGTCTGAATTAAAGATTTAGGATATAGTCTGGAAAAGGCATTTTAAAAGTCATTCAAGTTCTCCATCCTTCCCCTGCATAGCTGTTGCTGAGCTTTACACAGTGCTTTCATATAAAAGTTAAACCAAAGGTACATTTTGACCTTTGGTAAATACAGATTTTGCATTTCTATCTCTCCTTTAACCCTGTGGAAGGTTAAACACTTGGTCTGATGTTTTGTTCTTCCTTCTGGCACAGTAGAATTATTACTACTGTTTGTTTCCTCTTTGGAGCAGTAGCAGATTCCATGGTGTCATAAGACAAGGTGATTCCAGAAACAGTCTCCAAAGCCTGCAGAAATGTGGATTCCTGGTTTCTCTGCATTTTCTGGATGAAGTGTGTGGCATCTGCCTGTAGATGCTTAAACAGACTGGTTCAACATGGGGAAAGTCATCCCCTGTGATTGCTCAGCTCCTTGAAACATGTCACAGCACCAGTTGTTCTTTCCAACTGCAAAGGCAGGAGGGAGTGGGATCAGCTGCTAATAGCAGTTGGGAAATGAGATTTTCCTTGCCAAGTCTCCTGCTCCTTGAACCCCCTGAGTCAGGGAACTGTAACCCCCTGACATTTGCTGGGGAGCTTGTGCTGTCTCCTTCCTGTGCAAGTAGGAGTGGGGTTTATTATTTTTATTTGGGCTCCTTTCATTTTATTAAACCACATGTTACAGGAAGTCACAGATGGCTGACATCAGATGGCATCTAGAAAAACAGGAATTTATTAGAAGGGAAGTAAATATTCAGATAACTTGAAGGATATAAATGCTCATTTGTTAATGCTAAGACTGAAGAGCTTTCATTAGTACAGCAGAGGTTCTAAACTTATAATCATAGAAATTATAGGTTACATACTGTACTTAACTAGTTTTAGTTTTGAAAAAAAATACTTTCCTTAAATAAAAATACATATAAACCTTGAGGATTATATGGTCATTAAATAATCCAGCTGATATTATTCTCAAAATAAATAATCACATACTTACTTTTTTTTTTTTTTTTTTTTTAGGAGCTTGCAACTCTTAAAGCCAAAGAGCTTTATCAGACAGTGGAGAAAGCTCAGGAATTAGCCCAGGGATCAAAACAAGACCAGCACATTCCAGACTTGGCTCAGAAGGCACATGATATTTCAGAACTTCAGAACAGTCTTGGTGGTGGCAAGTATTAGTCTCACACTCAGTTTTCCTGTTCCTTTGGTCGTTGAAAGTGAGTTGTTTCTGGGATTGGGGTGATTTTTTTTGTTTTTGTTTCCCTGTCTGCATTTGGGTCACAAACCAAGTTTCATTACAATTTATTTACCTTTCAAATAAATCTCAGTGTTAACTCCTATGGAGAATATTGTGTTTTAGTAATTTCCAAATACTGTATTACATAAAGGAAGAAATGCAGAGATATTGGTAGGAATGCACAGGAATATTCAGACCTGTGTGCTGTCAGATTTCCAGTGGAAGAGGGAGAGTATTGGAATTTGCACCAGAGTTCTCAGTATTGCTTTGAGCTCTAAACTACAACAGTCTGATACCTCTGTAACATAGTTTAAATTGAACATAGGTTACTAAATGGAAACAACTCTACCATTTTCAGGTGATAGAGAGTTAGACAACTGTTATTTTGTCATTTCAGCACAAAGTGCTGCTTTCCCTGCAGGTGTGGAGGGCCCCCCTGGGCAGCAGGCCTCCCCTCGGAAGGACACGGCGGTGCAGACAGGTACAGAGCCCCCACTGAGCCACTCTGGGACCTCCACACTGCCAGGGGGGTGTTTGTCAAACTGAGCCAAATCACTGACGCTCACAGGGAATAAAGCTAGAAAGGAATACCTGCACAGACACAGTCATGTTTGTCTGTCACAGTGTACCACTTTATTCCTCTATTTATTCTTCTAAATAAATGATATTTCTGTATAGTTGTTACTTACCAGTTACAAATACCATAGGCTGAAATACTGTGTCAATTAAGGGTCACAAGCCACGGAGCTCCAAATTTTAAGGTTACTTGATTTGGATCTCCAGTCTTCTGTGTTTTACCCCTTCCTCTCTGAGTTACCTTCTACTGGTCCTATCTGTCTTCCACAGAAGAAAAAAGAGTAAAAAAACATTATAAACCTGTAGCAGCCATTTTTAAAGTAAAATAAGTAATGGTAGATTGATACATTTGCAAAAGTCAACCAAGTAATTTGAATAGCTCAGACGTGGAGTTAAAATAATTTTTTTTTTTTTTTTAGATTGCTTTAATACTTCAGCATACACAGGGTCAGCTGAGGAAAGAACTGCATATTGTGAATCACCTGATATTTCCATAGAATATAAAGAAATCTCTAACAGCAAAAAATACCAGAAGGAAATGCAGCATATGGATAAAAATAAACTTCCAGGAAAAGGGACTGGTGGTATTTACAGTGACCTATATGAACAATATGCAAGAAAAGAAAGACACATTAAATCTTCAGAAAAACACAGCAAAAGACCTGACTGGAACATAAACAAGCCTGGGAAAAGATACATTCCAGCTTCAGAAAGGTACCCTGAGCCCCTGCAGAAACAGAGGGAGGAGAACAAGGTGCGCCGGCAAATGGAGCTGCTGCAGCTGGTGGAAAGGAACAGCCCTGGGCAGCTGAGTGCAAGGAGAGGGGGGCACTCAGCCAGGTCCCTCTCACCTCGGGAGGAAACAGCTGTGAGGAAAAAGGGCCACAGAGGCAGAAAGGTGGGTCACTGTCTGGCCTTTGGGAGCAATGATGTGTTTTTAAAACTCTTGTTCCTCATAGTTTTACCTGAGTGGGAATTCAGTTATGTAACTGGAGCACTGAAGTTCTCCTATTGCTCATCCTTGTGTCAGCACTCTGTTGTTCATCAGGAGCAGAAGAACATACTGAGATTTTGTGACTGAGTTTTTACTGTTATTTCAGTGTTCCAAAGTGTTGATTCCTTTTCACTGACACTGATTCATGATATAAACAGAGAGCTCAAATGCAAGCAGTGTGCAGGACACAGTGACATCACTGACTTGCTCTTTTGTGTCCAGTCATTGTGTTGTGCTGACACGTGAGGTACAGCAGCACCTGCTCAAGAAAACAATGTTTATTTCTGCAAAGAATATGGACTACTGGGGATGTGCTCCATTGCCACAGAAATGCATCCTTCTTAGTGGAATAATTCTCCATTTGCAGGAAGCATTATATCAGTAGAGCTTGTGGCTGGAAAAAAGTATTTTGAAGAAAATGCTATCAAATATATTTTTGGCTTCTCTTTTGCCCTCTCTCACTTGTTCACTCTCTGTATGTAATAAACACCTCTCTCACACCTTCAAATAACAAAACTCTGGACCTTTCCTTTAATATCTTGGATTGAACCTTTCAAGTTTGTAAATCCCTATGTTCCAAGGACAGGAGAGTAGACATAATATTTTTGATAGTGCTTAGAGCTGCCAAAGACAGAAACTTGGAGTAAATACTCCTGTAATTTGTTGCTTTATTTAATGGGCACTACAAGTCTCTTAAATGTAAATCTTTGATAAATACCCTTCTTCTGAACCCAGGTCAAACAAGTCCTTTTGGAATTTCAGAACAAACTTTCTCTGAAAAATCAAAGCTTTTAATATAAAAAACGTGGAGATTTTTTGTTTTACTTTTGACTTCTTTGGTTTTCTCCTAGGAAGAAAAATTTCATAAGAATCACTTGAATGAAGAAAGGTATGTCAATACTCTGCCATAATGAAATGTAGGAATACATTATTGCTAAAATGTCCTTGCTTTTGTTTCCTCATTTTTTAAAAGAATTTAGATATATCTAATTGTCTGCTATTAAAAACACACAAGACCATACAGATTGCAGGTAAAAAAGCAGAATAAATAACCAAAAATCTTGTCCTTTAAAGATTCTTAGTCTCTGTTATTTGAGAAGATCACATTACTGAAGTATTATTTGAGCTTTAACTTCCATTGTTCCCTGCAGATCTGAATCACCACCCGTCCCAGCAGTTAGGAACAGATTCCTCCAAGCACAAGGACAGATCCAAGCTTCTCCTTTCCCGCTGCACGGCCAGCTCAGTGGAAGAGAGAAGGATGCCCGGGCTCCTCCCCCGGCGCCGCAGTTCGTGCCCTTCGTGCGCACCCGCGAGGTTTTCTGCCTCCCCGCCGGGGCAGCGCCCGGCCACCCGCACGGTACTGCCGGAGCCCGGAGAGCCCAACCTTCCCCTGCACTGCTGCTGCCTGAGCTCACCCCCAGCTGCTTCTTGCTGAGCTGTGCAGTCACCTCTCTGTGCCACAGCAGCGCACAGGAGGGCTGTGCAACCCAATTATATTCAGTCTTAAAAAAAAATCAAACAACAAAGTTTTAGAAAATCAGCAAAGCAACAAATATGTTCTCAATTTTTTGTTTGTTTACCTTTCACAAAGTATGACTGCACTTTCTGCTTTACTTTATAGATTGGTTTAGGACTCTAAGTGTTATTTGACTTAATAAATATGTTATCAATTTTTTGTTTGTTTACCTTTCACCAAGTATGACTGCACTTTCTTGCTTTACTTTATAGATTGGTTTAGGACTCTTAAATGTTATTTAACTTAAAAATAGAGATTACAATCTTGATAGCAGCCAACCCCTGATTTTCATAAACTTTCAAAATCTGCTGCTTCAAAATTAAAAGGAAATTAATATAGAGTTTCATGAACTGATTTGATATATGTTTACTTTTAGATTCTTACCAAATGCCACGACAGATTTTTAGCTCAGATCATGTTAGAGATCCTCTTCTAAATCCTGATGCAGTTACAATCAGAGAGAGACAACAAGAAATTCTCAAAGGATTGTCAAAATTACGACAGGTAAGCATAAATTTATTGGCTAACTGTGCATGTGTATCTATATATATATATGTATACTGAAGTAAAAATTATCACATCATTGTCTTTAATTCTGTTTCCATAATTTGATTTGTATTTTGGGCCCTGTCCTCTACTTTGTTCCATTTTATTAATTTTGTTTTTCACGTGTTGCTTCCATCTTTGGACAGTCCTTAGAGAGAGAATATGGACTCCTTAGTCCTTAAATCAGCTCTGAAACAGTGAAGTGCCTGAAACTTGAAACCAAGAGAAATTACTTTGTTTGGTGTCCAGGTTTCTGTGGTTAGGGTTGTTTATAAAGAATGTATCAGTTTCAAAAGAACAGAGTTTTAACACAGCACTAGAACCTTGTTCATGAGGTTTCCCCTCTGTTGTTCCCAGGTTAGGACAGAACAGTGGGGTTGGTGGGGTGGTGTCATGTCAGGCCTGGAAAAATACTGGAATTTGCAAACTGGAAGTATTAACACTTAAAAAATCCTTCCAAGACAGCTGCTACTTGTTAGCATGTAAAAAGAAAACTCAGGATTTGTCAATCAGACAGGTTTTCTGAAAACAAAATGAAAATTAGCTTAATGCCACAGACACACGAGCTCCTGAGATAAAAGGCTGTGTGTTTGTGTGCATTGTTCTCTCTGTAGTCAGGCACTGGTAATGGCATCTGGGTATCAAAGCCTGAGTGAACTGGATCCTACACCTGTTGGCTGCAAGGTGTGGCCACAGCCACTGGAGCCACAGGTCTGGACATGCACATGAGCATTCTCCTTTATGCATCTAAATGGCCTGACAGACCTGCAAGACAAAAAAGTATTTCCTTCAGGCTTGTCTTTTCCTTGTGAAGAAGCTGAAAATAAACATGTACCACTATCTTCCCTTGCTTTTGAATGGATCCAAACTAAATGTACCTCACTGCTAGCAACAGGATTTTTCTCTGCCTTCAGAGAGGAAAATTTCATAAATAATCAAAGGGAAGAAAATCTGACAGTGAAGCAAAACAAAATTAACAGTACTTGAGGCTGTTGACTACCTGTTGTGCTTTAGAAAGACAGAAGCACTGCAATGTACACTGTGAGAAATGAAGCCCCCTTAAATTTTTAAGAGTTTCAATAAGTGATTAAGGGATAAAGCAAAAGTTACAGGCCTGGGTGCTTGGCAAAGCTAGTGGCACACCCACTTCCTCAGCTTACAGTCTTTTATACTGTTACAGTTGCATTACTTCCTCAAATGCCTGGAGATTTATTTGGGGCTCATTGATTACAATCTTGCTTCAAAGTTTTGCAGCATTTGCACAATTCAATAGTTGCAGATGTCAACAGTCTAGGGTGGTCTTTGGATGCCACTTTTAGGCTTGGTAGTTTTCCTTTTAGGGTCTTCTGCTCTCCACCTTATGCTATCTTAGATGTACATTTTGCAATAGCCAACATATCTTAAAATACTTCTTTTGCAAGCTCACTTTCATCTTGTGAAAGCCTTGTTTTCCCTGTTACACTGCCCACAAATGATTACAAATGTTAAGAAAAGCAGTTTAAAACTTTCAATAATTATTTGCAAACAATGACAATTTAATAATTAAAGCAAATAAATTGTAGCACAAGCCAACTACTCCAGAGCCATTTATAACATACCCACAGTCCTTCAGTGGTAGGTAAACTCCCTGTGCAAAAAAAGGCTGATGACTCTCCCTGGGTCAGTAAGGAAAGTTGTGACCCAAGAACACTGAAAGGCTGTCAGTTTCTAACACCTTCTACATTGGTTTCACTGGATCTGGTCTTCCCCACTGCTCATTAACATCTTTGTTGAATAACTACAGCTTTTAAGTATTTTGGCTTCTGATCCAAAGGAATCTACTCCCCAGCAGGTACTGTAAAGTGAAGACACTTTTACTGGTGCCAGGGGCATGCAGGGGTCAGCACACCCATCTGCACATCCCCCTACTGTTCATCTCACACCACCTTTTGTACAAATCTGACACCAATCCCTGCCACTTACTTATCTTGGAGTCCCAGATCTGGGGGTTGGGGCCTTACATAACTTGTGGTTTTCTTATCTTCAGCTTACAAATACAACACACCATTCCAATCTAACTAACACAAATAACTACATCTTCCTTCTCTACACAGAGATCTTCATGTTAGACTTATGGGCCACCTATACCCATTTCACTGATTACACTCTAGTTCCTTATCTGTTCTAGCAGAACCTATGACTTTGCATCTGCACTGTTTTCTGCTGGTACTTTGGGAGTTTTCCACTCATTATCACTTCCAGCTGGCCAGGGCCAGGTCCTTGTTTGGGAAGCAGCTGCAGTTATCACTCCTAGCATAGGGCTGGGTGCCTCCTTGGGAAGCAGTTACAGTTTGCAGTCGCCAGCCCCCAGGTCCTACTGCTTCACCTTGCTGAGACAAGTCCATGTTCTGTATTTCACTTCACTTACCAGTGGCATTTTGTTGAGTGAAGCCAGATTCAAGGTACAGCTTGGTCCATGTGCTTGCTGAGGCTACAAAAACCCTGGTTATGTAAACAGGTTAAAGTTGGCAAGCTCAGTGAAGCCACATGAACTTACAGTCAATTTTGCAGTGGCTAAAAAGTAACAGGTTAGTCTTTCAGTAGATCTTGGTTCTGCAAGAGAGTTAACTTAAAACATGTTGAGTTCCTTTTTAAATACCCTGCCAGCTGCAGAAGGCATTCAGGACATGAGCTGTTCAATTCAGTACACCTTGTGTGCCAAAGTATTGTACTCCTCCTGATGTACAGATGACACCTGTTCTGCATCAGTTATTTCACTGAGAAAGTATGAATAGGCAGGATTTTGTCTGAAATACAAAAAACTGAGTTTTTTGTTTCAGAAGAGAATCTAGTCTTGCTCTTCTACATTTATATACATATATATAGAGTGGCTTTACAGTTTCAGTCTACATACATACATATCTACATTTACAACATATGTAGCCATTGTTTTGTTTGGGGGAATTCACATAATAGTCACATAATTTCAACCAGTCTTTACTCTTTGAACTCCACACGGAGCCAGTGATAAATTCAGCTGGGCTGGTGCAGCAAGAGCCCAGTGGGACTGGCTGAGCCAGGGAAAAGAGGAGGGAGGGTGTCTGTCACTGCATTTGCTACAAGACAGCAAATCTCTCCCTGTGCCTCAGGTCACAGCAGGTGTAGGAACTAGCAACAGACTCTCTTTCCTCACTCAATCAAAAGTCAGTGGATAAGCCGAGCAAAGTGAATTATTTGTGACATAGAAGGGACAAAGATTAAGAAAGAGGACTCACCCCCAGGTCAGTACTACCAGAGCACCCCATTGTTCCTGAGGCAGCAGCACTGCCAAGGGTGCAGGTGACAATAGCTGGGTGGGGACACACCCCCACGGCTCCCTGGGGAGCTATTTCCCATTGCTGAGCCCCTTTCCAGTACCTGTGCAACCCTTCTGATAAACACTCGGCTGCCAACTTCCAGGGTTACTTGTTCCTCAGCTCTTGGTCTATTTAGGGCAGTTTATTTTATAACTTATTTTATAAACATGCAAAAATGCATGTCACAAAAATGCAAAAAAATGCTCTGCAAAAATACTAATTATTGACACAGAGACTGAAAACACTGACCCATTAATAGAAATAAGCAGATCCTGTTGATTAATTAGAAAGCAATTCATCAAGTGATTGAAAGTAGGCAGCTGCTGCCTTAGAAGGAGCCAAAGTGAAGTCTTACAGGCTGCTTTGCTGACTTTCCTTTGGTGCCACCAGGAATCTCTGTCTAAATTGCTGTAGGAGCTGCTGCCTTGCATTAGGTCTGTCCTGAGCTATGCCAGCAGCCTGTAACTCTTATCTTTGAGAAAGGCCTTGTAACTGAGAAAAAGAATTACCTTTTCTTTTTTAAAAAACCAAACTTCTACAGTATCAAATTATTGCTGATAAGTCTAAATAGATGGAGAGCAAGGGCCAGATGTATCAATATATATGATCCTGTAAATTACAGTAAAAAACTTATTTTAATTTATGCACATACTTGTCATAGTTCTGTCATGTATGACTTGATAGACAGGGGTAGAGTTCCAGGAGGTTTTTTTGTGACAGGTTTTCTCTGTTATCAGTACTTACAAGAAGCATTGACACAGCAGGAAGCTCAAACCTTTTGACAGGTAATCTGTGTCTCCTGGAATGTCAGACACTGCTCTGGTCCCATGGCCTGGCTCTGAAGGGTATTGTTTGTGTTAAGGCTAAAAGCCAATGCCCAGCAGGTTTTGGGTTCTGCTTCATTCAGGAATTCACTACAGTCCTGCAAATGCAGAGACAGTGCACAAAGGGATGAGAAAGTTCCATTTCATACAGTGGAAAAGTCCTTTTTTCCTCTGCATGGTCATCCCTGGAAACTGGCCTGGCTTCCACTCCAGTCCCACTTCAAAGGCTGCTGCAGAAGTTCCCTCTTCCCTGAGTCTGTGAGGCTTTACTGTTTTTTCTGAAGTTGTGTACTTAAAAACCATTGGGCCTTAACAGGGAGATTGTTTTTAACTGTGAAGCAATGATGCTGCATGAGAACACAGAACATTCACATTTGTATTTATTTCAGGGCCTCCTGCAGAAGCAGAAGGAGTTGGAGAACACTTTGATTCCCACTGTAGCTCAAGAGAACTTCATGCCACCGTTCTGAGAGGTGCATATGAATGTTCTGAATCCTTAATATGGAAATGCACAGCATTTTGCTACTGTAATTAATTACAAACCACCTCTAGCTTTTTTATGAAAATTAAATTATGAGAATTTTGATAGACTACAGGGTCATTACATTTTATATTGAAGATATTTAAACTCATGATGGTTTGTCTGTTTAGAATGATTTTCATGCTACTTGAAGACAAGTGTCAATTTAATATAAACTACCAAAAACATGGAAGTAAACTGTTATATGGGTTTTTATAGAACTCAGTGTGTGAATTTTGATAAATAAAAAGATTAAGATGCATTCTGAATGGCTTTAGTTCTCTTTGTTGGTATTTTAACTATACAAAACTGCCTGTATTTCAATATTCAGCCACCTTTCAGCCTTATACAGTGAATATCAAGTCAAGTACTCCCAGATTCTAAGACCACAGTTCATCACACAATCTGGTACAATTCATTGAAAAAAGGCAGTTCTGTTTTTCAAAAAAATTACTTGCCATGCTTGGGGGAGGCTAAGAAGTTTTACACTAGTCTGGTACTGGTTCTTAACTTGAATAAATCAATCCACTGTTTGTAGAGGGAAAGAATCAACTCTAGGCAAAAGTCTATGGGTTTTGCTTGTTTTTTAAAAACTGCACTTTTTAACCAATAATTTTCTCCCAACTAATTTTGTGGATTTAGAGATTTTGTGAATTTCAAACACTCACCTGGTACCAAACAGAACATCCCAGAGAAAAGCACTAAAATCAAATTACAACCAGAAGTCCCCCAAACACAGGACTTTGGAGGACCTGAAGATGAGCACCAAAAGCCAGGAGTCTCAGCAAAGTGAGCAATGCAGCAACTCCACAGCTGCTGCCTGGGGAAGCCTGAGGCACAACAAAATGAGAGAATCGCTGAGGGGAAAAGGCTGGTAACTCAGCAATGTGAAAGTTAAAAGACAGGATTAAGAAACAGATAAAACTGTACTTACCCCAGTGCTAGTTCACAAAACAAACAAACAAAACCAAATTTACAAAAAAAAAAAAAAAGCCTGAAAGCCCCAGGAGTCATTAAGCTGAAGTGGGAGAGGATTGAGGTTTTTCTGATGCAAACTGAATTCCCACAGTCATTAAATCCACTTCTGTCCTTTTCTCACTCCAGTAATCACAGTGGCCAGATAAAAGCTGGGAGGACTCTGCAGTGGCACAGAACAGCAAGTGAGACACAGATAACTGCTGTGCATGAAACCAGGCTTGGGTGCTCCTCAAGCACTTTGCAAACAATGTAAAAACCACAGACAAAGCAATGTGTTAGCAAGTCCCTTGTGCATTTAGAGTTTATTTCATTTTTTTGTAATGGAACTGCACCATTGGTTACTCTAATTGAGGTATTTAGCCAAAATCCAGTATATAGTCATGAAAATAAGTACACTGCCTTAGAGCTATGTAAAAACATTGTACAAAATCTGTGTCCATGTCAAATAAATACATTAATTTTAATATCTATGTAAAGAAACATGTTGGATACTCTTGTGGTTAAGAAAAAAAAAAAAAAACAAAACAACTGGCTCTTTCACATATTTTAGGCAAACATTGAGCTTTACATTAAACAGACCTCAAACTGAATCTTAGGTAACAGGTCAAATACAAACGTAGAAACTTAAAAGTGCCAACAAACAAGATAATTCAAGTACAGGAAACGTTAAAAAATATATGTATTTATTTAAATTTTCAGATGGTTCCAATAGGGACAGGCCATCAGGGATTTAAATAGAACATGAAAACATCTGAGATAACAAGAACAAGAAACATTTTGTTTCAGAATAAAATAGAAATCATTCATCCAACATTTTAGAAACAGAGAAGTCCACGGCAACTTAGAAAAAGAGACTTAAGAGTTCATTTCTGTTCTGAATATGGCCTGGAAGAATCACAGCAGCTATCCCAGCCACCAGGTGATGATGACTTTTCTGTATCCACGCTCTGATTGTAAGCAGATAGAAAATAATTGCTCCCTTCTTGGTTTTGATTTGCAGGAGAAATTGGGTATGTTGTTCCCAGAAAAGTCTGATGAGTGAGGACATTAAAGTGGCTGAACTGATGGGACATGTTTAATGGTCTGCTATAAACCTGGAAGTTACTGAAAGGAGTTTGTTCAACTGCATTGTGGTTTTTTCCTTCAGCAGAGCATGTTGTAGAAAGTGTAGTAATTGGCTGCTTCTCTTCCAAGCCAGATTTGTAAGTCTTTTCCCCAAGGCCACTTTGTGCTTCAGGAGTTAACTCTGTAACTGATAAGCAGCTTTCTTTAGCATCTACTCCATGTGGGCCCTTGGCCTCTGTCTGCAAAGCTTCCACATGAGTATCATACTTAGAGGCACCACTGCAGATTTCTATTTCTGACAATTCATCCCCTGAATCCAGAGACATGTCCTCCTCATCCTTCTCATCCTTTTCTACAAGAACTACATTAAAAGAGAGAGAAAGTTCTATTCTATTGAAATATAAACTTTGGTTAAAAAGGCCATACACTACTCACAGTGTTACACTTCAGGTCTGCCAGTCCACCAGCACTTTAAGTCTTGGTCTTCTGCCACTCGTGTTCACTTACTCAACACACACACTCAACCCTCTGTAGGAGTGTCCAGTTACTTGGTGCTAAAAGCTTCTGCACAGCGTGCTCATATTTAGTGCTGGGAAATCCCAACTCCCAGCTCCAAAGGGGACAATGTCAAAACAGCATCTAAAGTTACACAGCAGGTGAGTATTTGATCAGACAATTAAAGGAGTACAATTACTGACATCTCAGTACAGTTTATCTACTCTAGTAGATAAAGCAGGTAGAGACAAGTTTATCCTTTTCCTGAAAACAGATGTCCTGTCTAGTGCCTCAAACACCATGTTAGCCTGTACTTCTGTCTTTAAGGTCTCTGTGCTCCATCCCCACTGCTTTTCCCCATCATTCAAACAGGAGTAGCTTGAGAGTTGGGTTTTCCTTGCCAGCTGCAGTGGCTGTTGACCAGAGCCAAGGCACACTGTCCCAGACCTCCACCCCACACATGCAGTTTAGAAAGGAAAGTTCAAGTGTGTGTGACCTCACCTGATTGTCTCTGGCCAGCACTGCAGGAAGCAAGGTGGTTCTGCTCAGTAACAGTGTTGTTAAACCCAACGAGACTTTTAAAGTTACGCATGAAGTCATCAACAGCAGCAACCACTATGCCATTGTCAACGTAGCTCGAGAGCGTCTGGAGGTTCTTTTCTAAATACATAAAAGTGTTTCTATTAATATTTAGCACCTATTGTCAAAAAAGGGGGAGAGGTATTCACACATGTGGGATTTACCTGTTAGGAAGACCACATGTCTCTGTTTTATGTTTTGAGCCTGAAGCCTGATGAGACAGTCAAGTTCTGGAGCATTTCGAGTTTGAGAGTCACAGTTATGGTAAGACAGAATCTCAACCAAGTACTTCTTCTCATAGGTGTTCAGCAGGGTGAGCAGGTCCAGGGCATTGGCATTCATCCTGCAGCGGGGGGAAAGCTCACTGTTAGAAACAGTTTAAGGTCAGTCTAAATATCAAAAGACAAACGTAAGAGTAAGTTGTATTTAAGTGTTTTGGATGGCATAATGAAAACTGAAGCATTTTAACAGCTCATATTTTAGAACCTTACTTACCTCCCCAGCTCTTTCAGTTTTTTTTGTATTTTGCAGTGTACTTTCCATTGCCATTTCCCATCTGGGGTATTGAGATCCTCCAGAAATGTTAGGAACTGTTTTAGTTTATCTGTTATAGAGATAATGAATAAAAGTTAAATTTTGTGGTATGTAGACTGAGAATACTGCTTCATGGTATACAAAAAGCTGTTTCCTGTTTTCATCACAGTACAGTCACAAAGTTTTATTCCATGCAGACTGGACAACAGCAGTATCATAAAACTGAGCTGCCTTTCTGTACCTCAGGTGCCCAGGCGTGGTATTTAAAAGCTGACCTCAGTATACACACTCTACCTTGCTAAAATAATTCAAACAATTCTAACTTCATTAACAATTCGATTTCAAATTAAGAAAAAGCATATATAACAGCATATTTGTGGATGGAGCAGTAAGGAATAAAAGGCTTCACAGACATAACTACACAATGTAATACAAACTGAAGACAAGATCTCCCTGTTCATGTGCTCTTCAAGAACACCACTGGGCTGAGAAAGAGACTCAATTAGCTGAAGTTCTCAAAGAACATCACAAAAATTGGAAGACCTGATCCTTCACTATGGTGAGTACGGGACTTCTCACATACTGAAATGTCAGGATTTTAGTTCTAAAGCTTCCAGAAGGATCACACCTACCTGTAGTGATGGACTCTGGGTTAAGGACAGATTCATCTGACACAACGAAGCCTCCAGACACAAACAGGTCATTGTAAGTGTGATTTTTCACATCATCCAAACTATCGACCCCTGCAAAGCTGACACAGGAGAACCTCTTCAGAGTCACCAGGCCAGGGATCTGTTAAAAAACATTTGAAATCAGAGGTGTAACCACAGGTCACACAGAAAAAGGAATTACACAACTCTCCTACCTACTGATGCCAGGCACCAAACTTCAAAACACATTTTCAAAAAATGACTGTTTCTTCTCCTGCCTAGGGAGGTGCTCTCTCAGGACCATTACAGGAACAAAGTAAATGGACGTTGAGCACTTCAAATAATTTTACTTTCTGTCCAGCACAGGGCCTTAAGCTGTCAGGAATAGCTCAGGTCATCTGAAAGTTGCCTTCACTTCCTGTCAGAGCATCACAGAACCAGAAGCAGAACTACTCAGGACTCTGCACAGCTTTACAACTACCAACAATAAATATGCATTAGCACATGCATGGTGGTAGAAGAAGTTATGAGTAAATGTTGTGACAAGACCATTTTTACTCCAACCATTTTGTTTCTTCAAACAGCAGCTAAACAGGGTCCTGTTGAATGCTGTGCTGTTAGAAGAAAGCAGCCTTGCTCCAAATGAGCTCCTCTCACTATTGCCAACAGGTTTCTGTAGCTCAGTTACTTACGTGGGACATACCTTATGGATGAGATTGGCAATGTCTTCATTCTGGATAATGATCAACAGTTTATCTGAATTATCTCTTCTTTTAAGGAACTCCTCTGGATGGCACTCTGTGTTCCCTAACCTTTTAAGATATTCCTGCCACCACAGAGAGAGGAGACAAGGAATAAGTGAATAGGTAGTTTGGTAAAAACAATGCCCAGATGACACCCACAGCAAGAAGGTTTTCCACTTCAGTGAATCCCAGAGGGACTGGCTGCTTTATCTCTCCCATAAATTA